TATTTTATACAGTTGCATTATTTTCTAAAAATGTAGTAATGTGCTAATATTACATATATATTTATATATACGCAAATATATATAAACACAAATGCATGTGTACAAAGAGGCTCCAAAACTTTTGTGGAAAAATTGAATTAAAAGAGATTGGAAACTTATCAAGGGTTCGTGAGGGAGGGTGAGAAGGGGAGGGAGGGGGAAGAAATGGGGAGCTGATGTCAGGCACTCAATTGGGAAGAAAATGCTTTGAAAATGATGGTAGCAACTGTGCTTGACACAATGGATAAACATATGGATTGTGATAAGAGATGTAAGAGCCCCCAATGAAAGTATTTAATAAAATAAAAAAGAGATTGGAATTTTTCCCTGAACTTTTTGAAGCCCCCTCATATGATATATATTCATATATGCAAACACACACACTGATTTTCAGTTTTATCCAGGAAGACTCTGTAGGTCAGTGGGAGAAACATACGTTTTAGTGTTGTTGTTGTTGTTGTTGTTGTTGTTAGGTGCCAGCACATTGTGTTCTGACTCTGAGCGCCTCTGTGTACAACAGAACAGAACACTACCTGGCCTGCACCATCCTCACCATTGTTAAATCTTTGAGCCCATTGAAGCAGCCATTGTGTCAACCCATGTCCTGCAGGGCCGCCGCCTTTTTTGCTGCCCCTCTGCTTTACCAAACAGTATGTCTTTCTCTCCAAGGATTGGTCTCTCCTGAAGCATGCCCAAAGGACATGAGACAAAGTCTCACCATCCTTGCTTTTAAGTAAAGGAACGTTCTGGCTATACTTCTTCCAAGTCAGATTTGTGTTAGTCTCAAACATATTTTCATACTGATACTCAACTGCTCTTTTCACATACAGCTGCATCTTGTTTCTGTGTGTGTATTTGTGTGTGTTCCTATAATCCTGGGCCAGTGATATACATGGCTGATTGCGCTCATGTTTCAAAGAAAGTATATATTGGCATATTGTTGGAAGTGTTTTCTATTTTGCTGAAAGTCACCCGGAACATGGAACTATACTTGTTATCTTTCTCGGTGCCATTAAGTCAATATTAACTCATAGCAACTCCCTGTGGATTCTGATCCTGTCTCTCTTTATGGGAGTAGAAAGCCCAGTCGTTCTCTCATGGAGCTGCTGATGATTTTGAACTGCCAACCATGAGGATCGCAGCCCAAAGCCTAACTACTATACCACCAGGGCTCCTGCCCACTATCTTTAGGCTTTAGTATTTTGGTGCCCGACATCGTTTTACTCTGTATTATTAGTTTGCAGCATACTTGTAATGTACCAGTTGCAGAAGTGAATGTAATCCAGGCCCATTTTCGTTTGGTACAGCTAGGGACACCATCAGAATCATTCCATAGCCCAGATACAATCTAGTCACATAAGAATGATAGTGACAAAGAACTAATGTACTCTGTTTCCCTTTCTGAAGTCATTACTGAGAAGTCCAGAAGTCGTGCAGTTTTTACAGAAACAGCAGCAGCTCTTAAGTCAGCAAGTTTTGGAGCAAAGACAGCAGCCGTTCCCTGGAGCCCCGGTGTGAGAGGACTCGCCACAAGAAGCGTCTGCG